CACCTGAGTTAGAGGTGACGACGATACAATAGTCATTAGCTGTGGAGTAGCATGAATGTTCGTAATACTAGAGCGCGCGCAATACTGTGCTTCCTTGAACCGTGTCCAATGAATTGAACATTGAGTAAAACTTCTTTCTCCGGGGATCGTACTCACGGGGATTGAGGCACGCCAGCGGAGAGTAATGATGTAAGTTCAGAAATTCCGCGAGTCAAGATCGGAGTTAGGTTCATCAGTCGGGTCTTACCGAAATCTTAAGTACGTCCCGAGGAACGGGCGTTAGTGGAAGTTCAACTGTGGAACGAACAAACTCCCTTACTCATAGTTCTTAGAAAATATAGATGGGCAGAATTACGTTACGGGTCACTTTTACGGTTACGATTCAATCTCCGTACCTTTGCTGAAAAAATTGCGGCGCCGTAATGGGTCTTACGGAGATGCAGAAGACAAAATAAGGATTGATAATTCAAGTTGCCTAAATCTACATATTTCATGTGAATGCGCACCCGTAGATGAGGCCGACTTAGCAGTTCCGGGCCAGCCTGGGAATAAGACGGACCGAATTTGCAAAGGAGACGAGTGGTAAATGCGAAAGCAAATGTTACTCTCTCAGCGGTTCGGTTGAATTCGAGCCACAAGAAATGACCTTAACAACTATTTGAGCTATCGTGGAGTGCATTTAATGTACTGCATTACAGCGTACCTTTCCGCCCCAATTCTAAAAAGCAGTTCAGCACCAGACGCAAAGTCGTAAGGCCTTTCCGTAACCGTAAACTGCTCACGTTACGTACGCCGTAAGGTGAACCGTAAAAAAACGTTAGGCTGCCCATCTATATTATAAAACCAACATCAGATCTTTAGGTTTCTTACCTTAAGGGTGAGTCTGAGGGAGTTAAGTGATCTTAGCCCTTCTTATCCCTTAGTGAAGCGCTCCATCCTTAGTTTCTCTAGTTTCTTACCGTCTTAAGGTAAGTGAGCAATTACTGAAAGAGGCCCAATGGATAGACGGCACAAATAACTCCAAGAGTGCAAGGATAAGTTATCCTGGATAATCATTCTGAGTTACTTACCTACATAGATGAGTGGGAATGCTGGAGTCCAGTGGCTTCTCTCGCGCGCTCCACTCTCAGAGTGGCACTCCGTGAATCGGGGGATAAATTCCTAGGGTAGGATGTTGGACTTATTGGCCTTCTTCGCAGAACACAATGAATGCGCGAGCGACTGATATGCAAATCACGTGCGATTTAAAGTCACGAGCCACATGAGCAGAAGTCACATGATCGCATCGTCTCCCCAACGTCGTTGTATTAATCATCTTACAAGCCTTAGACTTGAAGCTTACATCGACAAGTTCGGTTGAAAATTTGGTCAAACCGATAAGATTGCTTTTTCCAGAGCGTCCGTTGGGCTTGATGGTCAATAGATGACGAATACTACACACTCGTTGGTTGGATGTGTAATCATGAAGAGCCGAAGCGATCGTCAGAGTCTCACACTACAGCAAAGTGCTATTTGCGCGCTTCAGCAAACATGCATGAATGGAGCACAAACTGCGTGAACTCTAGTCGCATATTGACCACATGAGCATATTGTCGGCTCAATCTGTAATATGGCTCCAGGAGCAAACCTCGGCTTGGAGGAGCCAGGCTCGTAGAGCAACACACATCGAACATGATGAGCTTTCCCTTCCCATTCTCGATATCTGCGAGGATAGGGGTCACAATTTGACCGTCACATTATTCGGACCATGCGTGCCGTAACTACGATATTCACGTGTGCTCGCACGTGCTGTGCAGTAATTCTTGCTCGCTAGCAGAATCACTCGTATCGAGCAATAACCCAAGCTGACCCGCAGCGATTTCTACGGAGCTGAGAGGAGAGGGATATGAAGATCGAGGAACACTTCTTCTGAAGATGCGTTATTGGTCGCATTCCACTCGCACAAACGGTGCGCTACACCAGGATGCCACCAGATAGATGGCAGGTTATGTAACTGGCGCGGTTTTGACCGCGGATTCACTTTTCATGCTGAACGAATGCAGTGTCTTCAGTTATTTCTTTTCCTCATGAAAGAACCGTCTCCCCCATGTGAAAAGTCTCCGCTGTCACCTCCGAATCATTACGCGTATGCGGTTCGCATGCCATCCAGCAGGAATGACCGGGTCGATGAGCTCAAAGTCGCACCTGAGTACCACCGCCACCGCCGACTACTTTGGATATTCTCGTTGATTCTCATTTCTATCTTACCTGTCTATTTATTGAGCTCCCTACGAGCCGAAGAGGATCGGTCGAGAGTCAGTCTCGACCAATCTCACTCTCATCGACTTGGAACATTTGCATCTATGACGCATGAACAGGTCGGAAATATTGCAGCAGCAGATCTCAAAATTATCGAGTGCCCCAGAACAGGTGGCGGGTTGAATATGTCTCATTATCGTAATGGTGACTTTTTCCAGAGGGCTCTGGCAGACGCTCCTGTGAAGCCTTTAAGGGTATATGAGCGGGCACGCGAGGTCTGTGAAGGGCCACGCTTGGACGAGGTCGACCCGCAAAATGACTCCGCCTCACACTGGAAGCATTGTCTACCGATACATCCTAACCACAACCAGTTGGAATGCGCAGGTGCTACTCGTAGCACTCTCCTCGACCCAAGAGTATTGGAGCCTGTGTGCGGGTCAGCAGTCCTTGACATGCTCACCATCGATGTCTATCGTGCCATGGAAGAGTTTGGATGCCAGCCTATGTTAACCCTCGGCACCGCCCTTGGAGCTGTTCGGAACGGTACGCACATCCCCTGGACTGAAGACTCAGATATCGCCTATTTCTTGCCACCTGGCGCATCACCGTGCGTACAAAGGAATGAGTTTGCAGAACGTCTCCGCGGCCTTGGCTATTTCCTGTTCAAGCACGACATCTGGCGGGTTTGCATCGCTTCACATCATCCCCTTGCCGGGCGATTGTATAACATCGATACGAGCATCATATTCAATATGACTCGGGTATGTGATTCGTTCGAATGTATTTATGTTGACTTGTATAGATTGACTGATAACGGAAAGGACGGCTACTCGCATGAATGCCATCGTAGCGGTAAATACTTCCGTATCCCTTCGGAGAAGGTTCTCCCAGCAAGCACTATCAACCTCAATGGCTTATCATTCTCAACCTATCATGACATTGATTGGTTCTTGTGGGCCACTTACGGGAAGAACTATCTCACGCCAAAGCGAGAAGAGGGGTAGGACGAAGATATGGATGGAGGATGATGAGCACGATTCTGGCGTATGAGACGATTTGACGATGGAGACAAGTTTCACTTCTCCCAGTTATCGGTCAGCTCGGCGATACAAGAGGCGCGTCAGTCTCATAGCGATAATAAACTGATGACTCTATCCATCAACCTTTTCTCATTAATTTCCTTACGCAATTGATGAGTTGCCACCACTCCCTGGCTCATAGCTTAGTCATTTCATTCGAGGCACGTGTTGTGTTTCTCCAAAACAGTTTCATACTTTGCCAAGTACAGAAGGGCAGGAGCTTACTTTCTTATATTCTATAGCAGTACGAATATGATGATAGATGGACTCTGTAGATTCCCTCAACAGTTAATGACTAACTATTGCCTCGAGTTCCCAAACGGGTAACAGCATGCTCAATTATGCGCTCGCATCAGTGAGCACAGAGTGTTTCTGGTAGGAGGCCAATCTGAGGTCGGCAGCTTCATACCCTGAGTCTATGTATCCATTCCTGTCGACTATTCGTCAAGGAGACTAACAAGCCTGTGATCTTGTCAACGAACTCCGTTGCCGCTGAATGTTCAGAGTCAAGATAGAAGTGTCGGCGAATAGACTGTAATGCACTACTCATCGACGAGAATATGCTCGAATCAACATGAGGCTGATGTCGGTTCGATCAGATCCATCGCAAGACGATGATGGTCATCCGCGAGGCAGCCGAACATCGCCACGCTTGAAGATTTATGAGATCCCTTGTTGCTCCCTATAATCAAGTCGTGTTGTTGCACCATTGATCCATTTCATGTGTTCAAGGATAAGGGAAGAGTATGCTAAACGTGGATGCGTGCGACCCCGGCTGGAAGGTCTGTGGGTTCGATTTGCCTAGTGAAGTGGTGATTATAAGAAACTAACTTGGGAGGTTCAATCTGATTCAGGAGTTTCAGGAAGGGCTCGGTTCCCGCTGATAACGACGGGTAGAACTCGATCAGTACGAGGCAGGCGAGAAGGCTTGATCGGACAAAATTTCGTTTCATCGAATATTTTCACTGCGTCGTACGCAGGGAGCCAGAATATTCCTGAGCATACCAAACTAGCAGGTCAATCTCGAATATGCACACAAGTAGAAGGTACACAAGGGAGCCCAACCGTTCTTTGAGTCTTTCGAAGAGCCACCTGAGAGAGTCTGGGTGTTACTCACTGCAGTGCAGTGGCTGCACCTGGGTATATTTTTTGTGGTAGTCTGTAATGACAGGCCTCAGAGAGGAGCGGAGACCGGACGAGGTCTTCGAAAGAGAGTTGCATTATTTACAATATCGACCTTGACAAGACCACGTCAGTCTATAGCATAGTCTATGCCATCCACAGCATAGTACAATCAATACCTCAGTCCATCAGCCCAAAGCCAAGTATGCCTCAGTATGAATAAGCCCTCTGGATGGGGTCGATGGATGGTTGATCGTTGAGTCCGAGATGTGCAATTTCTGTGGGCGTGGCAGATATAGTCTGGTCAAAAAAAATGCCCAGAACAAATATACATAGTTGGTCGGACATGTCTCATAATCTCGAAGGATTGATCGCTTCCCTACGGTCGATACTCTCGTTCGTCTAATCGGTGCTTTCTGTGTGACCCAGCTGTTCGTATTTTTCCTGTCG